AAAAAAAAAAAAATTGCCAACAAAAATAAAATGGATAATATTATTGATCCAAGGGTGGTCCAAGAAATCCGTTTGTACGACCAAGAGATCTCAAAGAGGCTCACTCCCTTAGCAATTCCCAAGAAAAATCACGACGAAGACGACGGAGATGTAAATTCTTGGGCCGGGTCGGGTAGTTCGGGCTGGGCTTCGATGTGTAGGGAGATGTGGAGCTTTTGTAAAAAACTCAGAAAGAAAGTCGTGCATGCTGTGTCGTTTTAGGTTTATTTTGGTTACATATAGCCTTGTTCTTTGCAAGAATTTTGGTTTGCGAGGGTTGTGTTGTATTTTGGTATGCAAAGGAGGCAGACATAGCTTGTATTTGGTTTGTGGTTCTTTAAAAGTTTCTACATTATTTTTGTACAAATTATATGATTCCCATTACTGACGGATCTAGAAATTTCATTGAGCGGTGTCTAACTTTAAATGTTAAATAACCGGCTTTTTTGTTTACGATTTTACTATGAATCCAACAGTTGGCTCCATAATGGAGTCAATCTTCTATATACAACAAATAAACTTATCATTTTAATAAAAATATACTTATTAGTGTTATTTAAGTAATCAAATAATATGGTAAGTTTACTTGTTGTATATAGAAGGTTGGCTCCACTATGAAGCCAACTGTTGGCTTCATAGCAAAATTTGTTTGTTTAAATCGAAACACTTATTTCATATAAAAACATATTTATTATAATTATAAATATTGATACGTGTACCATCAAGATTTTAAAAACTTAGAAATAGTATCATTCTCAAACTTAAAAGACAAGAAAAAAAAAGATTCCATGTATTTATATTTAAAATCAACATCGAAAGAAATAAGTTTTTGGGTTGAAATTTTGATTTAAATTGAATTTTTAAACAACATTTCATAGCATTTTTGTTTATTAAATCCTATCAAATAAACATTTTTTATAAGAAAAAAATAAATAAAATTTAAAATATATGATTACACAAAAAAAAAGAGTAAAAAATTAACATTAAAAAATATAACAATCCACTCAACAAATACTCAATTTTATAAATCACTAAATTGATTTACAATTAAGAAACCAAAAGAGTAAATCATTATAAATATTCTTAAAAGTTTATCTAAAAATTTAAAATATAAGGATTGTTATTATATATTTTAATAAATAAATAATATTAATAATTTAAATGAAAATAGCATATGAAATAAGTATTAATTAGTACTATATTGTAAATATTTTTTACATGTCTATACATATTTTTAATAAGTTCAATTATTAATATATAGTAAATATTTTTTATATTTCTATATATATTATATATATATTTAAATGAGGAGGGCCAGGGACCCCTGGGCCCCATGTAGCTCCATGCCTAATTCCTTGTGTGAGGTGGCGTAATCGCTATGGTAGGTACGCTAGTGAGAGTCTTTCAATCAGAATGTATATTTATGCTATGAAATCTTGGGCATGCTTGTTTATCAATCATTTCACTCACCCATGAAATCTTGGGCATGCTTGTTTATCAATCATTTCACTCACATTTACTTCATACTCAAAATTTAACTCAACTTTAACGCATTTCCACTACTTTTAACATTATTCATTATTCAATAATTAAATAATACAAACTATTCTACACATCACATCAACTTTAATTCACTATTCATCGACAAACATAATTTTAACTACCTATCATTGCCGATCATTTCCAATTATTTATTTCCTACTTTTAAATCAAAACAATTTTAATCATTTTATTTTTAAATATTATTTTAATACATTCTTAAAATTCCTCTAACAACTAATCATACCACATTTTGGACGAATTATTGTATATTGATTTTTATATTATGACATTTCAATTTGAAAATATACATATCTGTTAAACAAAATATGATCGTCTAACGTTAGTTCAGTCTAACTTCAATTTATTACTTAGTTTTATGTTGTTTAGTTGTTTGGTAGTTTACGACTTGTTTTATATTTGATTTGACTATGTATGTAAAGTTAAATATTTCTATTCTTTTTTTTTTCCGAAACGATAGAGAATTATATAGAACAAAACGCACAAATGTGCAAATTACAACTAAGAGCCGCAGTCAAAAGCTGAATAAACTGGAAGGACTGGTCAGAAGACCGCCTAAATCCGATGCTAGCAACGCTAGAATCCAAAAACAAAACACCAACTAAAACTACTAAAATAAATCCTAAGCTCCCAACAGGAGAATCAACTAGCTCCAAACATAAAACACGAGACCTAACTAAACAAACAAAAAACAGACGAAAGAACAATCAAAACAAACAAAATCCCTTCCCAATCGGCATGACCAAGCGGCGCCAACGGAACCAATCAACCCAAAGGGCATCCCACAACCAAGAGGACCCGCTCCGAAACTGCCCAACACCAACTCGGTGGCCTAGCGAAGACAAAGTCCAAGCCCTGAAATAGCACTCCACGTCAATCACGAACCACCACCTCAGCACCAATCCGCCTTGGAACCACCACTGTCCCGAACTCTCTAACACCACTAGCGAGTCCAAGCCCGACAGCCCCCGGTGACTCCCGAACCACAGAACTTGGAACCAGGAGAAGCGAAAAGATGTCGAGGCAGCCGGCTCAACCCCCGACACACCTGGAACCACCACGATCTCCACCCACCACCGCACCATTTCGTCCAACACCACTGGTCGGAGACGGAGCAATAGTCCTCCTTGCCCCAACGCCAGAGACAAGGAGAAGGGCGAAAAATCACAGCGGAGCCCCAGCCATCCGACGTCGAAGACGTCAAAGGACCGAGGCGTCCCCCACCCAAACAAAAATTGGCACAACCACCGCCACCTATGCGCAGGAAGCCCTCAAATTGAGCGGAAATCGGCGCAGCCGACCAGCTGAAATCTAATTGCAACCACAGGCATAATAGCAGGAGGAGGCGCGAATCAAAGGGGGAGGGCCGGGTAACCGAGAGTCGACCGACGGCACCTACTCAATCGCCGTTAGGAAGGCAGGACGACACAGATCGGCGAAGGCGAGCGAAGGAGAGAAAAAGAGGGTAGGGTTCGGCGAAGGAGAGAAAAATATTTTTGTTTTATACTTAATTAAATATTTCTATTCATTCATGGTTGTATCATATATGTTCAATGGGGTTGTATTGGTTGTCTCATTTTCGAAATTATGATCTTTATTGAAATAGTTATATTTCTAAGTAATACAAAAATTCATATTTATAGGTTGAACTAAAAAAGGCTCATATATACTTGCATGTCCATCACGGAGAACCAAAAAAAAAAAACTATATATGTATAAGAATTAAATAATGTGTATGTATGTATGTATGTATGTATGTATATATATATATATATATATATATATATATATATATA